CACACACACACACACACACACACACACACACACACACACACACACATATAATCTATATTTATATTCTGATATGCGAGCAAATTCAACTTTGATGTCAAAATAGATAAGTTATACGTACACACAAAAGTTTTTACATACAACACGTATATTATGTATATATGTATATATATGAGTATATATATTTTGCGTAAAAAACTTTTGTTTATGTATTTATCTATTTTGGCATCAAAGTTGAATTTGTCCGCACACCAGAATAATAAATATAGATTTTTCTACATCTTCCATTTTTTATTTTCTTCGTTGCTTCTTTCGTATTTTTCCTTTTTTTTCTCTTAAAGGAAATCCAATTTGCTGCCATCCTTTCCTGTTTGCGCGTGTTGTGGAAAGATCTGACATCCACATTTAGCAGCTTACCGGCACTTGCAATCGTTATCACTCGATCTTTTCGATTTTTCATTTAACCCTCCATCGTTTCCCCCTACCTTCGTAGCTTCGCGCCGTTTTTCTGTCCCTTTCTTTCAAGTTGTCTTTTTTTTCCCTTTTTACCTTTTATCTTTCGTTTTTTTCTGCGAGCTACCACTCTATAAAGCTGACAAGATCGGTATAAGGTACAGAGAAATCTTGTTGTCTGGCGCGAACAGAGGGCATTCCACTGTCTGACCAATATCGAACTACTCCCCTTTTGGCTGACTATACGCGTGTCTCTCTACTGCTGCCGGCCAATGGCGGAACTCCATCGGTGTACATATAGAGCTACGTCAACGAAATTCGTGGCATTCCGCTCTCTCGTATCGTCTTTCGATTGCGCTCGACGTCGCGGCGCTTTTTGATTCATGTACATATCGATACCGTTGCTGCCTCGAGCATGTTCGACCTCGAAGCGATTCGAGGAAATTGAGATCCTTGTCACAATGTTTTACGATTCTTTCTTCAAAAAATTATGTCCTTAAATGTCGATGAAACGGTAAAGTTTATTTGAAATTCTTGCCGTTCTATATACGTGCATGGCACATATAAAGTTTATGTCATTGTACTATTAGAAAAATTACTTTATAGACTCATGCATGCAATTTTATTAATTTATTATCAATATTATGTTACTTATTATATAAAAATTGCTACATTTTAACTTATTTTATTTAAAGGAAGTAATACTATTTTAAAAAGAGATAAGAGTTAATTTAAAAAAGATATTTTAAAAAGATATTTTAAAAAAGATATTTTAAAAAGAGACAAGAGTTAATTTTAAAAGGGTCACAAATGGAGGGATCTGGCTCAGGGACGGGAACAGTGGCGGGATTTGGTATTTGCGGCAATGAGCTTTCGAGTTCCTAACGCCTAATAATAATAATAATAATAATACTATTTTAATGTCTCGATTTAAACAAATTTGTTGCATATTTCTGCAAAAAATACATAAATGCAAAAGTAAACCATCGGGGACGATTTGAATATTTTAGTTAAATTTATATTTATGCTTCCGTGAGAATTAATTATTCGTTTTCACGAGGACAATTATCACATTCATTATTTTTTCGCGCGCGTGATAGTGTTCGAAAGTGCACAGTTGACTCATTCATCTCTTTTTTTCCCTATTTTTGTCATGTATTTTGCTGCCATGCGGCGACAGCGAAAGGAAGAGTTTATCAAAGGGACCGGCGTTGCTCATTGTTTCTATCGTTGTCATCGCTCAAAAGAGCGGAAATGTTGTACTGTCGGAGTGCAAACCCGCGCGTCGTGAATAGGACGAAGAATATTTATACGAGGCGCTCATGATGGTACAGGAGTTATAATAGCAAGTCGTGAGCGTGTGAAACGTGCCGACTGCGTGCAGCTTCGCGTGTAAGTTTCAAATGTGGGAAGGATTGTCTCTTTCTAACTGAAAAAAAAAAAACGTGTCGATACAGTGATTGCACGCTTTGTATGTACGTCGTACGTATGTACGAGAACGTGGTCTTTTTGTCACTCGACAATTGGTCGCGAACGTATATGTTGACGCGATTTATTCGTGACTTTGTCAGCAGGCTGGAACGATTAATTAATTTTCGGTAATTTAAATGTAATTGTCGGACGTGAAGGTACTCAAAGCTGTTAAATAAAATCAGTAATGCGCTGTAGCGCGCGCATGAAAATAATTGAGTTTACTGACGCTGCGTGCTGTTAAAGTACTCTCATTAAGTTCATCATCACTGTTTGTGATTTATTACATGTTATTTATGATTGATTAGAAGTAATCAACGGCAATGCATTCGGAAAATGCGTCAGTCGGAAGCTGTTTTATGATTCTGTTGTGCTTCCACTTCACGTGTGATGAAGTGGAATCGCAACAGATATGTCGCCCTGATTGTTACGTGTCTAATTGTTGCTATCTCAACGGATTTTGAATTTACATCATTCTGTAATATGTGAAGTAAACAAACAATATATTTTTTATATTATTATATCAGTAATTTATTTGTTCTCATAAATGCAATTTGTTTATTAATATGTAATTATTCGTGATTATACTGTAATTTTGTACGTAAATAACTTTTTTATTCTATATATATTTTCCTTGCATGTATAGTATAACATTCACGTGTGCGTGCGTGCGTGCGTGCGTGCGTGCGTGTGTGTGTGTGTGTGTATGTGTAATTTGTAATTAATAATTTTGCAATTAATTGTATAAGATTTGTAATTATATTCGTTATAAGGCTGCTATTATATAAAGTTAAGCTGCGTAATACATTGCAAATGCAGTATTTTAATAATAGTCAAGAATTGCCCCATTTATATAATGTTTCAAGTTCATGATTTAATAAAGTGAATTTAGCGGCTTGCAAGGATTTGCAAAATTTGATGCAAATGCTATTCGCGTATAATTCGCTGTGTCGAGTTACGTACTCTCGTAATTCTCCATACAGGCTCAACGCCTTTATACTCAAGTGCAACGTTAATATGCTCTCTCGTATGTGGGAGTCCATGGAGTCAGTGCGCGATATGCGACTCGTACGCACACTTAGACAATCATTGTTCCAGACCAATAGTACAAGGGGACAGTGGGACTGGGCTTTAACGCAGGTGGAGTAAATTAGCGCATCAAAGCCGAGCGCCATACTACTACACTGCTCAGTGATTATTGACGCGAGCCGAGTATTGGCCACTAACTACCCATTGAGTAGCTGAAGGTTGCCTCGTAATTAATGGAACAGTCAATGGGAGCATCCCCGAGCTGTCGTCGCATCATGATGTAGCATTTACGTTGCTTTCTGATATATTTCTAACAAAACACTAGTTTTTGCTCCGTCCGCAATGATACATCGTTTCGAAAGAGTGGTGGCCCAATTACGAAAATTTTATTAAAATCGCTATAGCTCACGTTATCTGCAACTCGTTGAATTTTATAATTAATAAAACTCTGCTGCAGCGTTATTTCAATTATAACGTTATAGTTATTACATTTTATTAAAAATATATGTGTAAATAATAATTAATGAAATGGCATTTTTTCTTCTGATTTTTTCGCAGCATGATATGCGACATGATATACGAATCTTTTTACTGACTTTGACAATAAGATTTACGAGGCTTTGAAGCTCTATATGTAAATGTACTGTTGTCCATTTATCTCGTGCTAGTGTTCTTGCGAATAGCAGATTGATCGGTGTAAATTGCATACGCATTATGCACCAGGTAATTGCCCATTTATCTTGAAAGACTGGTTTACAATCGTGTGGCAATACCTGTGTATGGGTAGATAATGTAGCTGAAGACCAGCACTGTGTGTCTCGTGATTTATGTGGTGCAAAAGAGCAGCCGTGTTAATCGTGTAATTAAGTTGGTCACTGATTTGGCACTCTAGCTCTCTCATGACATTTCGAATTTTCGACGACAACGTTCCAAAGTTTGAATTTCAAATGTAATTAATGCCGAATTAAATACTATGCTAATCTCTCCGTACGTTTTATATGTAAAACTGGTCCAACGCGTAATGCGGGATTTCAATATTTTATTACGCAATATCGGCTTCTTTCACGCATTAGCTTCGACAGAATTAAAATAGAAATTAATTATTAACGTCCACGAACAGGATACAATTGCATTATAATCTCCTTTTAATGCGGAAAATTTAATATCGTTACATTTCAAAATTTTCACATTTTTTTCTTATATATATTTTTGTTTATTACTATATATTCTTTTGATTATTAATTTTTTATTATTATATTAGACTATTTAAAGTATGTACAATTATAAGTATCGAATACAATCATATTGACGATCAGACTGTAAAGTACACAACATATACATAGACAAGAATCAAAGAAAGCTATCTTAAAAGCTGCCTTTTCGCTTTTCTTCTCCTTTTTTGTTCTTTTTACTTTGCGCTCTCTCTCTCTCTCTCTCTCTCTCTCTCTCTCTCTCACCATCTCATCGAACATATTCGAGTGTGTGCGTGACGTAGATGTGTCGGGTAGTCCGTATTGAAGTGGAGTGGCAAGTCAATAACCCCGAGCTTCCGAGCGGCGGTGCACTCGAAGGGCTGTCAGTCGAACCGAAAGCTCTCCTGGCTTTACGACGTTATCGTCCGTGTGCATTTAGCGTCGGTCAGCGATATGCGACGGCCACTGTTTCCGGTGTTAAAGAAAGTGCACTTTGGCCCGTGCTACGCGCTAGTTGCCACGAGCACGACGCGATTAACGATCTGCAATGAAAAGCGCTTCTGTCGCGGAAACGCTTGTTGAGCAAGCGCTTTTTCTACTAGTGCACGGTTAGATCTTTGTATTAAATCGTATTATTTTTTTATATTGTTGTAGCCGTTGATTTGTTATCATTTAATATGTAAGTAACAATCGTTTATCGTTTTTGCAATTCAACTTTAATTGTGGTTTAATAAGTCTGGAACTTTTTTAAACTTTATTTTTTTTTAGTATATACATTGTAATATTTTGATACATTTTTATTAAGTTTTCTCTTTAATTTTGATAATATTTTTTACGCTTCAATTTTATGAAGTGATATACCAAACACATTATTAAAAAGTAACAGAAATAATAAAAGTATTTAAAAAAAAATTATAGACGTTATACCCGAGTTTACTCTATTTAGTTTATTATCGCTTAGTTTTACGTTAAAAGTGTTTGCACATCCTTATGCAGTATACATGTTTGTGAGCTTAAAATAATCTTGTTTCTTCTCAATTAGATTATACTAAAATCCGATATACGGCTAAAGTTCGATACAATCGTTACACTTAATATTTCGTGACGTTGTAAGTCTGCCGAAGTCGATAACAAGATTTATCAAGACGTAGGATAATGCTTCTTGATCTTTTGAGCCCGGTTTACTGCACCTTCTTGGAAATAAATGGTTTATACTGGCTTCGTTGACTCGCTTCATCCGGCAACTTAATTAATCGCTTGCGCACTATGCGTCCGCTCTTATGGTGATTCTGGGAACGGGCATGCACCGCAATACACATGCCATTGTTCTGTTTTCTGGCCTGCTAGGAACGCGATAATTAGTTGGCTAGGACTGGTCGTTCGGCTGCTTGTTCAGTTGCCGCGCAAACAGCTGCGGAACAATCTCTGGTGTTCGATAGGATTTAATGATGAAGCAAGACCGCAATCCCATTCGTGATCTCTCGGCCGTGCATATTTGTTTCACGATGTGTGATGGTAACGCGGCCAAGTTAATCTACGTTCTCCAATTCGCATTCTTCTTTTTTTATATGAATCGAATGATGAATCTTTAAGTCTGAATTTAATAAAGTCTGTCATTTTTATGAAGTTTAGTTTTAAATAAGTATAATAATCAAGTAGATATATTATAAGAGATTTTAGAATGATATTTAAACTGAATTCAAAATGGGTTACATTTATTATTTTTTTGTTTTTACTTACAATTAGTCTACATCATTAATTCTTTGATTTAAATGAGATAAAATGAACATTATGATCTCTTTTTTGTTGTACGAAATTCTTTTTTTTTTTATTTTTATTTTAAAAAAATATTTCTTTTTCGATGTTTAAAGATTTCGTTAAAAAGAGAATTAAAGTAAAAGAATAACTCAAATTATTGTACTCAAATTTTTGTAGAATTTCTTGTATAATTTCCGTAGCGACGAGCAATATTATTTGAAACATTATTCATTCTCGGCATACTTGTTTTAAAGAGAACAAAAAGTATATTTTTTTGTACATTCTCGTGTTTGAGATATAGTAAATACCTTCCGCTCGAGGATTGAAGGAAAAAGAAGCGTCGTTAAATTATATCTCCGCTGTTTCCTAGCGTTTAATTTTAAGAAGCAAGAAAATCCCGACGCTTTTGTGATATTCCGTGCTTATACGATTCATTCCTATGTGTGAGCTTTACACTTTATAAGTTGATAGCAGAGCTCAGTGATGATGTCGGTTTTATACAACAGATTCAATATAAATGTTTGCCAGTACTTTTTTTTGCGTATTTAATTTTATGAGGTTATTTCACGTTAAGAACATAGTTTTATCTAAAATTCAGGATTTCTTATATTAAATGTATATACTATATATTATTATATTTTTAAATATTATTACATATAATATTCCTAGTTTTAAACTCCAAATTATTATTAATAATTGTGTATACTACTTGGATTGTTAATAAAGTTCTAAACTAAACTGTTGATTTTAATATATAAAAACGATTTTTGCATATAAATTTATTTATAGACAACAATAATTATTTTTCAAAAAATGAATCCCATTATGATCAATAATCGTTCGCCACTAGTCTGTTAACTTCAAATTTCATCTCGACTATTTAGGTTTCTTAGATGCGAAGAACTCACGACGAGCGGCCTCAACTTGCTCAACAATTTCGAACCGTCGTCCTCGCAAGAAATGTTTTATTGAGCGAACCAAGTCGTAGTCAAACAATACAAGATCAAGATTATATGCGGGATAGGATGTTATGCAGTTTCGATGCTGTCTAGACGTTTAGAATAATACCGAGACCAAATCCGACAACTTGCACTGATGACAAATGATTACTGAATTTTATTTTGAGTATTTATTTTGAGTCTTTATTTTAAGAAATAATTGTCATTCAGATAATATTTTCGAGGCTTTCACGGATACTTTCTATATAAAGATTATGCATTTCGCGGTTTTCTCTGTTATTCAGATAATTTTATACATGTTTCTTATAATGATATTGTTTGTAACATGTGTTTGTTCGCATTACTTGCACTTTTTACACTCAAAAATATATCTTATTTTAAGTGCACAAATTTTTGTAGATTTTAAGCAGCAATGATGAACAGACCTATTAACTATTAATTGCTTTTATTCACTTTCGTCCATCGTATTAATATTATCAATCTAAGAGATGACACATATATGAGTAACGCTCTTTAAAGCTTTTTCCTTCGTAGAATCGGAGCTTTTGTGTGAAGCTTAAAAAGGATGCCTATATAGGTGAGAGCGTATTGAAAAGTCGAGAAACCAATTCGAACGACATAGATCCAAAGCTACCTCTGGTATTGAGTATCTATTCAATCGGTCTCCACGGATCTGATTTCCGTTTATTACCACGTTGCTCGAGCAGTATCACATCTTCAGTTAAGCGAAAAATCGAAGCGGATATAAAAGTAAAAACAATTTCACGGCTGTATTTCATCTTGAAAATTTGATAGACATATATATATGAAAACACGTATTAATATATTAATTCGTAATATTGCAAATAAATTGGTTTTTTTTAATCATATTGCTAGTTTATCGTTCTTTCTCTCAATCGTACTTTTTATAATTTTTGTATGTATACTATATATATTGAGCTTCTCTATATTTTCTTAAAATATACGCTCTATAATTCTTTGATTAATAATATACATAATTTATATACTTATTATTATTACTTTATACTGCGTATTATTTATTTTCTAATTAAATTTAATAATATATAAGCAAAATATATAACGTAGTATATGTACGCAGACAAATATTATTCTTTATACGAAAATATGAATAAGGAATTATGAATATCGTAATAATTTGGAAAAGACATTGATTAGACAATACGTTGATTAGACAATACATTGCAGCTTCAGAAATATGTCATTCACGCGAGAATTTTCACGAACAACAAAACTGATGCATTGTGCACTAGTGGAAAGGAGCGGAATTTCATTGACATATTTCTGTTACAGAAATTTAACACTTTCAATA